CCTCAGGATTCGCTCCCGATCTACTTGCCCAGCCAGCCGCCACTCTCGCTGGAACCCCAGGACTCGCTCCCGGTATGTTGTCCCAGCTGCTTTCCCGCGGGTGATTTCGTCCATCACGGGCCGTTTCCTACAGAAATGCCCCGCCGCCCCCGGGCGGCAGAGCCTCTCTCTGGCCTGGGACGGCAGCACCGCCGCCCCTACTGGCATCGCCCACCACGGCGTCACCAGGCTCCTTCCTCTTCAACTCCATCACTACGCTCATCAGCTGCGATAACTGGCCCTCCAGCCTCGCAATCGCCGGATCCTCGGCGTGTTGCTGTTGCGTGGCTGAGGTCTATTCCCCCAGCCCTCCGACGGAACCGCTGTCCGACGTAGACATCACCCGATGCGGCTATCCCTCGAGGGACAAAAAACTCTAGAGTGTTTGTCGGCCGTACTCCGCGTACTTATCGGGACTTGTTTGTGTAGTGTATTAACTTCAGACGGTGAGACAACGCCCGTACCCAGGACGTTGTCGTGCTCGGAAAGGAGGAAGAGAGAGAGAGAGAGAGAGAGAGAGAGAGAGAAAGTAGCAGCACGGCTGCTGCACTCAACAAAGAGGGTCCCGGTGCTTCATCACCGTACCCCTACCTTAAAGGTTCTACACCATCTGCGTCACACTTGTACGTACGGGTAATGTATCCACCATGTCCGTAGACCCACGAACACCGAAGAGAGTTCGAATCTTCCATTTGGGGTCCCGATGGCGTTGGCGTTACTTCTTCTGCTACTTCTTCTCCTTCTTCTTTTTTGTTTTCTTCTTCGCTAGTGTCCACCGTGTCCGGCAGATAGATGGTGGTGGGAGTCATCGCTGAGAACGAGTCGTACCCTTCCTTACGTTTGACCACGTCGCGAGTCTCTTTCTCACGAAAGGACACCTCAGCGGAGTTTGTGATCTTGAGGGGCTCCGCCGGTTCCCACAGCCTGTATGTCCTATTTTTAGTGTTGTACCCCACATGATACATCTTCTTGGCCCTAGCTGACAGCTTGGTGTTCCGGAATCGCGCTTCCTCATGCTTATAGGCTATCGAGCCCCATTCGAGGATGTGCGACATGTCACCGAGCGGTTTCCCCTGCCATACCTCAAGTGGGGACTTTCCGCCCAGAACCTCCGTAGGTGTGCGATTCTTGAGGTAGACAGCTGTATGGAATGCTTCGCCCCACAGATGGCCTGGAAGGGGAGTAGCTTGCGCGCCGTTCCGATGATGGTGCCAAATCCACGTTCGGCGATGGCGTCCCCTAGCGGGACGTAGGGAGGGCTATTATCGACCTTGATCCCCATGGACTCACACAGCGCTTGGAATCTGCCCTTGAACTCTGCTCCGCCATCGCAGTGCACCTTGCCGATGCAGGTCCCCAAAGGATCCGCTTCGTTCTGGATAAGCTCTTGGAGCGACTCCGCCACCCCATCTTTCGTCTTCAGGAGAAAGCCAAACCTCATGCGAGAGAGGTTATCAGTACAGATAACGGCACTCTGGCAACCGCCGGACGACTTGACAGGGTGCGGCTCCCACACATCGGCGCTCAGAATCTCAAGCCGAGTCGTGGCTCGAGTGCGATTCGACGGGGGGGGTGGCTACCTTTCTTGCTGTCGCCAACCGCGCAAACCCCGCAGTCACCTGGTTCGATGTTCGGGTTGAACTTCACTCCGGTTGTCGCTTTATCCGCGAGCTGCTGCAGAGCACGTGAGTGGCAATGACCCATTCTACGATGCCACATATCAGCGTCGACCTTGGTGCGGTACACCTCGGCGGCGTCAAGATTGACGTCTTCGATGATTACTTTTGTTAGATCTACAACGTATCCACTGAGTGAGCTACATAGTCAGCGCTGACTGTTTAGCTCAGTGGATATGTTGTTTACTTAACAAAAGTACAACCAAGGTTCGAATCCCTCTGAAAGTCATCTTGACGCCTTTTACCAGGACAAAGGATCAAAGTCTGGGATACACACCTCAAAGTTATGGTATACATCACGAGTCGTCAACGATGAAGACACATATTCCCGCCTGAAGGCCGATGAACCGCTTGGGGCAGCGCTGATTACAGGGATTACAACCCTGGGGGAAAACCAGAGTCCGACAGTCTAACAGCTGTTCGGACCCTGGTTGTACTTCTGTTAGATATACAACATACCCACTGAGCTAAACAGTAGACTGTATCTAACAGGGTAGACTACACACCCGAAAGTCATGGTACACATCACGAGTCGTCAACGATGAAGACACATATCCCCGCCTGTAAGCCGATGAACCGCTTGGGGCAGCGCTGATTACAGGGATTACAACCCTGGGGGAAAACCAGAGTCCGACAGTCTAACAGCTGTTCGGACCCTGGTTGTACTTTTGTTAGATATACAACATATCCACTGAGCTAAACAGTCAGCGCTGACTGACTGCTTAGCTCAGTGGACATGTGTATCTAACAACGTTCACGACGTACATCCGCCGCACCGCCGTCGAGATGGGGAAAACATGGTTGCCATGGCGAAGCACCGGCGGGGTCGACAATAGATCACACATCACCCCCTTCTCGGCCAAAGCTCCAACCGACAAAGTGTTAGCCCCTAGGTTGCGAACCAGGAGAACTTGCACCGCTACCGGTACCACCATGTTCTTGTCATTCCGAATTCCAAATTTTATCGTGCATTCCTTGGTTGCATTTGAGGTACCACACGACCCGATGATACGCACGGCGCAGTCCACCGGATCATGAACATGTTTGGACAGGCGGGACTCGGTCCACATCATGTGGCTTGAAGCGGCAGAATCGATGTATACAGTCGTGTCTCCAACAGCGGAGGGATTCACCTGTTCCACTTGAAACACGTTGGTGACGCGATCCTACTACTACTACTCGGTTCCATCAGACGCCTCCTCCGCCTGAAGGTGAGTCGTTGCCACAAGCGCCGCCTGCACCGGCATATCACCAGCGGCGCGCTCAGCACCGCAANTGTCTCCAACAGCGGAGGGATTCACCTGTTCCACTTGAAACACGTTGGTGACGCGATCCTACTACTACTACTCGNATGGGGAAAACATGGTTGCCATGGCGAAGCACCGGCGGGGTCGACAATAGATCACACATCACCCCCTTCTCGGCCAAAGCTCCAACCGACAAAGTGTTAGCCCCTAGGTTGCGAACCAGGAGAACTTGCACCGCTACCGGTACCACCATGTTCTTGTCATTCCGAATTCCAAATTTTATCGTGCATTCCTTGGTTGCATTTGAGGTACCACACGACCCGATGATACGCACGGCGCAGTCCACCGGATCATGAACATGTTTGGACAGGCGGGACTCGGTCCACATCATGTGGCTTGAAGCGGCAGAATCGATGTATACAGTCGTGTCTCCAACAGCGGAGGGATTCACCTGTTCCACTTGAAACACGTTGGTGACGCGATCCTACTACTACTACTCGGTTCCATCAGACGCCTCCTNCTGAAGGAGAGTCGTTGCCACAAGCGCCGCCTGCACCGGCATATCACCAGCGGCGCGCTCAGCACCGCAACAGGCACATCCTGCACCTGCACAACTCCAGCTGCGCGCTCCTCTAGCTGCACCGCTCCAGGCACCTTCTGCGCCTGCGGGTTGTTGACGGCGCGCGTTTCCGGCAGCGCCGCAACAGGTGCCTTCTGTTTGCGGCCTACGCCACTTATTTATCGGGTAAGACTGTTTTGGTGATCTGATGTATTAACTTCACGAGAGGTCGACGACCGTCCTTCACACGGACGAAAGACGGAGTGCTCATAGATCGGCTCCCACAGCAAGGAGGGGCCCCGTGAATCATCGCGGTGCCCCCTACCAAACGGTAATCTTACCAGTGTGCGTGACACGAAATCATCCAGCACATGTATCCAACAACAATGTTCGCAGACCCACGAACACCCTCCCTGGTTCTTCACGCAAGTGACTAACCATCAATTGGGCAAGAACGCCCCTGGATACATCAGAAAATACCAACATGGTAACAATAATAATAATATTAGTTTTAGTTTTTGCGAAAAGAGCGGCCCGTATAGAGGTACGCTTTGTGTGTTTCAAAAAAAAGCTGTTTAGAGGGATCGTGTGTGGAGCATGTGCGCACGAGAAAAAGAATAATTTTCATGCCCAGGGGCGTGAAAATTTCGCAGTGGCTGTCTGTCTGTCTGTCTGTCTGTCTGCGCGCCCTAAATAACCCAGCAGACTCGAGCCCATTTCACCATCTCCGCACCAAATTGCAAACTAAAACTTGCGCACATTAAGTAACNTTTTGTTTTGCAAAAAAAAAGCTGTTTAGAGGGATCGTGTGTGGAGTATGTGCGCACGAGAAAAAGAATAATTTTCATGCCCAGGGGCGTGAAAATTTCGCAGTGGCTGTCTGTCTGTCTGTCTG